GCCCCGGCCATGGGTGTGTGGGTGCTGACAGCTGGCTGGCTGGAGGGGTCCCCGGGGTGCTGTCCGCCGGGGTCCAACACGGTGCTGCAGGGCATCTCTGGGGATCTGGCAGGGCAGCATCGCACCTCATAGAGGAAGAAGTTCAGGTAGTCGGCGAGCGGTGGCTGCCACGACACATAGAGCTGCCCCGCAGCCCCAGCCCAGCGGGCCGTGATGTTTGCCGGGGGGGCAATGAGACCTGTGGGGAAGGTGCAATGGCGTTTGCCCTCCTGCAGCAACCCCTGTCCGGGTACCCTCATGTCCTTCTGATGAACACTTGGCGGTCCTCCCAGAATTACTTCTGTGCCCAGGGTGCTGCCAGCCCCCCGCGGAGGGCACAGGGGCAGGGAGAAGGGCAGGGGACCCAGGCCTGGGGACTGTCCTGGTGTCACACAGGTATTGCCTGGTGGGATGGACTCACCCACTGCGTCCACGCTGAGCTCTCGCCAGTACTTGGTCTGGTTGGTGGTGGCATCCAGGACGCGGAGGTGGAGCTGGGTGAAGAGCCGCACATTCTGACTGGGGAAGACACAGACGTGCCGTGTCCTGCCGGCCCCACAGTGCCACGTGGAGACTGCGCACGCTGTGGGCACATCCCTGAGGAATGGAGAGTGGGGTCCTGTAGCACCCCATGCCTCCTGCCTGGAGCCAGGCTGGAGGAGAGGGGATCTGGGGCACGGAACCAAGATCCTGGTGTCACTAGCTCCTTCTCTGTGCCCCCATGCACTGCAGGGCACCATCCCCATGGGACTGAGGGACAGCCATGGTCCCAGCCCTGTCACAGGGTGTGTGGTGGCTGCTATGTATCTCCCATGGGCTCTCCAACCATCTCTCCTTGCAGCTGGGAGCCACTGGGATGGCACGGAAAGCTGCGGCACCCCGACCCCGCTGCTCTCTGTGCTGGCAAGGGGGAGGCTGGCTGTCCCCACTGCCTCCTACCTGCTGTACCAGTAGTAGAAGTGGCATGTCCTGCTCGCCGCCTCCTCCTCCTCCTCATCCCAGAAGCAGGTGAGGTCCTCGAAGGAGCGGGAGAAGCAGAGGATGTCCTCAGGCACCCCTGCCAGCAGTGCAGCGTCTGGTAGGAGCATGGGCATGAAGGAGCATGGCACAAACCCGTCTCTGTCCCACCTGCATCCCCCCGCCCTGTGCCTGCTGGCCAGCTTGCCTCTGAGGCCAGTCCATGCAGGCACCTGGGGCAGTGTGGGCATGCACGTGGACGTGGCTGTGGCACGGATGACCTCTGCCACCTTGGCGCGGTGGGGAGGGACACGGCATGTGTGCCTGGCTGGCGCCAGGGCTCCCCACTAGCCAGCCCCACTGCTCCTGCCTCCTCGGCACGCGGGGTCCTTCGGGACAAACAAACATCCCGAAATAGCCCTGTGGTCAGAGGGGGGCTCGGGGCCTGGCCCCAGTGATCGGGGGAAGCACCCCTGCCCTGCTCATGCCGGAAGGTGCACGGAAGCGAGATAAGGAGGAGTAGCATCCTGGGGAGAGGGAAAGGGCCTCGGGGTGGCGTGGGGGTATGCAGTCCTGAGCAAGGGGAGGATGCTTGAACCCTGGCCCAGGGACTGCTTGGGGGCTGTGGGTTTCTCTGCCCCACTTAGGAAGGCACCCTCCCTGTTGTGGGTATGAACTGGGATGAACTGAGCATCACACCCTGCAGGATCTCCATTCCAAGCACTGGTGGCTTTTCTGGCACATGGGGGCCTGTCCCCATTGTCAGGGAAAAGGGGACATCCCCAAGATGCAGATATGTGAAGCAGAGGGGTATCCTCACTGCCCCCAGCATTGCTCCAGCATTCCCTTCTCCCCCACTACCTCTGCCCTGGGACCTGCTCCATGCCTCCTCCTCCTCCTCCTCCTGGGATGTGCCCCCTTCTCCTGGGGTTGCCCCAGCTGCAGGACCCCACAACAAGTCTGCCAGTGCCCAGCGCTGCTGCATGTGCTGAGTGCATATGTTCTCTGCTATGTACTCCCTGTGCTGCCAGTTGAACCCTGGTCAAAGAATAAGGGACAGTCCTCAGATGTCCTTGCCACCTTCTTGGTGATCCCCTGCTGTCCCTGTCCCTTCCCTTGCCCTGACCCTCTTATGCCTGTTCCTCCTTTCCCAGCCCCGTGTTGCCTTCCTCCCCCAGCCCACGTCCCCTCCTCACAGCCCACAGCCTCCCCACCTGCTCTTCCCCTTTTGCACCCCGTTGCCCCCACCCCAGGCCTCAAGCTAGCTCTGCGACTCTCCCAGCTCCCAGCACCAGGGGATGGGGTGGCCAGGTCCCAGCAGCCCAGTGGCACAGGGACCCATGGCATCGGTGGGAGGCCACGCTGACCCCGTGGGTTACCAGAGCAGCTTTGCTGGGTGCAGGCTGTTTCCTAGGGAGAGCGGCCGCACCGCGCTCGCG